AGCGAGCATGGGATCATCCACTTAGAAACTAGTTCCCATGAAAAGGAACAACAGTCTCAGGTGTTGCAGGTTTGTATTAGGGATGTTCAGTTCTCTAATTGCTTGATGCCTTCGCAAGCCTAAAGGCTGACATCACAGACGTGCGACAATAGTGTCGGACGTTAACAGGTCGGGTGATCTGTAGTGCAGCGGTCATATGAAGTGACGCAAATTTGGTGTTGGTTTTGTTGTAGGAGAAAAATTACATCGCCAACTACTGACGTTCACACCCCCGCCCGAACTGTAGCTGAGAACGATGTAAACAAAAACGCACCAGCTTGCGAGCTATGACCCCACTTCGATGACAAAATTGTGCTCGACAACTTTAAAGTCAGGGGGACAAAGAAGGTATTTTTGGCGGCTTAAACAATAATGTTTTTGTGGTATGTTTTGCAGCGATCATAGAATGAAGTGCAAAATGGATGTCGGATTAGTGATGGAAGAGAGATACTGTCGCCGAGTACCGGCATTTAGTCCGATGGATAAACGTCTCACCACAAACCCCTCAAAGCACAGTTTTTCAGGTTCAGTGATTTACGTCCCCACTCCACTGATCAAATACTTTTTACCAGTGTGAGCTGAGCACCCAACATCAACTGAGATCACTATCCTTTAGCAGCAAACATACGCACCTGTCTCTGTGAAGGAGCTTCAATCATAACAGTCCTCGGAAGGAATTTCTATTCGACTTGTACTTCTGATCTACGAGAACTCTCAACAACAACTTGATATAAAGCAACAGTGGGATGGCATTTGCAATTCCCTGCATACAGCTGCAAACGACACTATTGGTCTTCGACAAAGTCAGAAAAAGAACTCAGACAATGGAGAGAAAGATGGACGAACCCAATAAATTGACTACCCGCCACGCAACAGTGTGATCGCACAGAAAGAAAACGAGAGTTAAAAAAGTATGAGAGACTTATTGCCAGATCGAAAAAGGGAGAGACCCATAATGCGTGATTAAGACGAGCTTGGAGAGCAGGCAGGCAGAGGCAATGCTCGAAAACTCAAGGAAAGAAGTGAGTGAGTTTCAAGACCGGATCATACTCAAGTTTTTCTTCTCAATTTTGGAAACAGATAATAATCATTCGGGACCAGGTCTGGGTTGCAAGGTGGGTGATTCAAAATATCGGAGCCCGCCTTAAGCAGGGCTTCTCATACCACGCGGTTGTTATTTTTGCAGAGGTGTGAAAGTACTCGGCGCCCTTCTTGTGCTGGTCTAAGTGATGCCAAAACGATTTTGCACAATTTGAAAAATGATTGCAGCGAACACTTCAACGATTTCTGCGTGTCGTGTCTTCCTTATACGGGCACGATTTTTTTTACTTTTTTCGTAAGTTATGACGTGGTCACCTTGATGCTTCTGGCCGGCGTCAGGTCGTCTTCAAGGGATTCCATTGAAAAACGTTGCATTGCAATACTGATGAGCCGAACCACTACCCCCCTACCAGCATCTCATTCTGCAAACATGAAAAAGCTCCCTCAAACGATGACATTGAAAGAGTTCAGTGAATTTAAGGACAGCTAGATCAAGTGTTCCGGATGAATGAAAAGCAACCAGCCGTGGATTTAGTACCTGCCAGTGGAAGCAGAGGAAGATGTTGGCCTCCGCTCCGTTACGTGGATTACGTCAAGAAGGACCAGCCTTCCTTCAGCCTTTGGTGTACTCGACCGACATGCTATTATTGACGCACATAAACAGTTTAAAATTGCAGCATGCTTCTGGACCCCATATGTATGTAACCCAACAATTGGACTCTTCAAGTCGGCGAAATTTAATTTGAAATTAATTTAAAAGACGCCCACTGACTCACCATTCCAATTGATTATTTTCATGCAATTATTATATATTTGTTAAGCATTTTATTTGATTGTAATATCATTAAATTAATTCGTTATTTCGCCAAAGGCACATAAATTTGCAAAAACCCACAATAATTGGCGTCAAATAACATGATTGTTGACCTTCGGTCTTGTTTGTTGACAGGCACAAATCGCATCAAATACACTCGTTTATTTATACATAAGCATATATAAATATATATATATATATATCAGAGTTATCCATTTTGCGGTTTCGAAAATAAACGTCAAGCACTCTTTGGCACATACACGGTGTGTCCTAAAGATAACTGAACATACAGCGCCATCTATTGAAAATTTGTAACAGTAAAAAGATATTGTACATTCATCCTCTTTCAAACGCACCTAACATCATGTAAGTCGGATGACAGATGTAAAAGTGACAGCCATTTCAATAAAACCAAAAGTTGGCTAATGGTTCAAAGATAAAATGGAACAAAGAGCAAATATAAAATTTTGTGTCAAACTTGAAAAAAAAAATTAATTAAAAAAGTTTATTGTGATGATAGTATGAGTTGTACGCAAGTTTATACGTGGTTTACACGATTTAAAAATGGTCGTGAGGATTTAAATGACGACCCTAGAGCAGGACGCCCAGAAACTAGTAATCGTGCTGAACTGGTGGAAAAAGTCCGTGAAATCATTGGTATCGATGCAAATTTTACTACCAGAATGTTGGCTGAGGAATTGAATACGAGTAAAAACACTATTTGGAGAATTTTAACTGAAGATTTGGGGAAAAGAAAGGTCTGTGCGCGATTTGATCCACATGAATTAAATGACGACCAAAAAAATCGCTCGGATTTTTAATGAAAAAAGGGATTTCTCTCATCGGCCATCCTCCGTGTTCGCCTGATCTATCACCATGAGATTATTTTTTATTTCCAAAACTGAAAACCAAGATGAAGGGAGCATTTTATGATGATATCTCAGCCATTCAAGTGGCCGGAACCGAGGTACTGATGAACATTTCTGTAAATGACATAAAAAAATCTATGCATGCACTGGTTGATCCTTCCAAACGTTGTGTTGAGTCAAATGGAACCTATTTTGAATAAATAATAACTTTCAAAGAGAATATAATGTGTATTTTATTTTATATTCAAAAAGTTCGGTTATTTTTGGGACACACCTTGTATTAGGCGGTATTGCAGCCATAACTTGACGATGATTTAAAACGCTCAAGAGTTAAAGGTTTATCCTCATAAACGCGGTCTTTCGCGTAGCCCCACAAAAAAGTCCAAAGTGGTCAGACATCGCCAAGACGAGGGATTGCGCGAACGAGAAATTTTTGTAGCAATATAGCAATAGTTGCCTTTTCTTCAAGTGAGATATGTGCTTCGGCGTTGAAGAAATTTTTTTTCTGTTTTAAATTGCCGTTTGCTTCTCGCTGTTCAAGCAACCCATAGTCGTATATACAGTGGGTCACAGCTTATTTGATACAGTTTGAATCATTTCAAAATAACATATATATAAATCTATTTCAATTTTAATACTAATATTTTGTGTGAAAGTCTTTCGCCTCGACAAGAGCCTTGATCATGGTTGGCATTGATTGCACAAACTTTTGTTTTCTGGTTTCTGCCATTGCTCTAGAGGCGCCTTTTTCAATTCCTATTTATTCGAAATTTTGTGGCTTCAAATGTTTTTGCCTAATAAAGCCGGGAGATGTCATCAAATGGAGAGAGATCCATATGAGCCAGTATTGAACGACTGTTGTTTTATGTTTTGGGATTGTTATCTTGTTAAAAGCGGAGTTTTTCACATATACCAAGATTCTCGGCACTTTGCAGCAGCTACATATTTTTGTCCATTATCCCTTCAGTAAACACCAAATTTCCTACGCCGGGCTGTGAACATAAAACCCCAAACCATCGCACTTCCACCGCCACGCTTCACAGTAGCTCTCAGGTTCTCCTTATTTAGCTCTCTATTTTTTCTACGCCAAACGTAAGACATGTCGTCGGAACCAAAAATATTGAATTTTGAATTGTCTGAAAATATAGCTGTGTTCCAAAAGTCATGGGTCTTACAAGCGTGTTCCTGAGCGAACTTTAATCGACATATTTGTTTTTTTTACTAATAAATGGTTTCTTACGAGCAACACGGCTATTAAAATCATGTTCGCAGGCTACACGGCGCGCTTCAGCGCTGCATGCTTTTCCTAATTCTTACAGCAGTAATTTTATTTTTATATACATATATAATATTTGAAAACGAAATATTTTTTAAATAAATGAAGCACATAATTTATTTAAAATTCTTTTCACTATAATATACCGTTTAAATTTTTTCAATATTCCTTTTAGTTAAGAAAATATTCGAGTTCGAATCGGCGGCTGTATCAAATACGCTGTGACCCACTGGCTTAAAATTTTATGTGAGCTATGCTCTATATGGGTTAAGGTGTCAGTTAAAGTGCAAAATACATCCTTATGTGCTGTAAGAAATTCCGAGCAATTGAGAACCTCAAGATATCAACACTTTCGGGTCCTACGCAACACTTTCACCAACACTAGCAATATTTGCGGTGGAACAAGGAAACGATGTACAGACCTTACAATATCCGTTGGTGATCCAGTCTCTGAATATTTTACCATTTGCTTGAGTAGTTGGAGGATTAGGCGCACCATAATCTGCTCTTAGAGCACAAACTGAGGCCACAGTTGAATCACCATTTTCATTGTAGATTTTAACAATTTTAACACGTTGTGCGGTTATTAAGACTGACTTTTTACCGAAACAAAACATGTTTGGTTTGACAGTTAAAGTGGATAGATGTCAAGTTACAGCCCTGCACTACTGAAAACACAAAATGGATTACACTCTCTATATGAATATATATTATATACAATATATATATATATGTGTATAATGACATTTGATTACAATGACCTTTTCCGCGTATCTACTGAACATAAGCCTATGCACGTAAAAATATTTCTCTACAAATAATTTTAATAGAAATCAACAATTTGTTTATTTCTATTTATATACTTGGCTTGTAAATATGTATGTCCGTCCATACATATACGTGCGTTTAAATAATCATGTTGATTTATCGCAACACGTTTACGATGAAAATTGTGAAAATTAATTTTATTCTTTATTTAATATTATTTCATTGCAATTTAGTTGTTGACAAATAAGCATTATTTATTTTCCTTTTTATTTAATTTATTTATTTACGCTTTTTCAAATATCATCGGTGTATGGTGAAATGCTATCGAAACTCAGTGGGCAATGGCTGTGTAAAATTTGTTTGCAATTATCAAGGCGTAGATAGGAGAAGTGGCGTTTGTCGTGCTCGTGCAAGCTGAAAATAAAAGAATGTAAAAAAATTAAAATAAAAAAATACAAGAAAGAAGAAAGAAGAAGAAGTCATGACGCAACGTTTATAGAATACAACTGTTGACGTCACCGAACTAACTTCGTCACATATACCGTGAGTGGTAATTGATTTTTTTTCTTTAAAATATTTTATATGTACAGTGGGGAGCAAAAGTGATTCATGTTTGGGAGCACATAAAAACTAAACGAACGAAGTAAATAATAAAAGTTTTAAATTTTTTTTTAGTGGTATTTTATTTGCAACAACAAGGCGTAAAGTAAATTAAAGAAGCTATAGAATGTTAATGGTTCAAAAACAAAAAAAAGCGGCATGTACTCAATTTTGCACCATTTAAGAAAAAATATGATAAAAAATAAATTCATTATCAATATTTGGTACAGAGACCCTTTTTTTCTATGACATTTTTCACACGTTTTGGCATACTTATTATTATTCCACTCTTGTTTAACACGCCCCCAAAGATCATTCAAGTTGGATGAAGCTGATTGCTACTGTCCGCGCCGTTGCTTTACAATTTACCATAGTTTTTCAATCGGATTGAGGTCGGGACTTTGCGCTGGCCACACCATCATCTTAAAATTTTGGTTTCCGAGCCATTCTTTAACAATTTGCGAAGTGTGCTTAGGATCCCCATCTTGCTGAAAAGTGATTTCCTGCTCTGTGTACGCACACTGTTGAAGAAAATTGGATAGATTTGCAAAATGCTGAAATAGTCTTCTTTTTGCATAATCCCGTCACTTTTGTGCAACGCGCGAATACGTAAAACACCCCAATGCCATTATGTTGCCACATGGTGGCTTCACATGATACCTTTGAAACTTGTCACCAGGTCTCCGCCAACAGTATTGCTTTCCCTTCCGATTGAAAACGATTAAACTTAGGCTGCAACTACCCAACGCGCGTACCAGCCGTCCATAATAACCTATCTTATGAGAGCGCCATGTAAACACAAAGTTGTCACCGCTTTCCCATACCGTTGGTGACGTTTGTGTCGCAGAAACCAACGAAGTTTTGATTTTTTCCGTAAAACCGGCTCGGCTCATTTTTCGTTGCTATACAAGGTTGCCAGTATAGCCTTAAAGTAACATTACATAATCGAAGATAATGCGTAGTTTTGTTCAAAAGAATTGAAAAATAAATGCGTAACTAATTATTTGTTACCATATAGATTATGTATATTTGCCTTGTGTTTATGTTCAAGCAAATAAATTATGAAATTTGTTGACGAAAATTATGAATTTGTTCAAAAGTGTGCAAAACACACAGGCAGCTGGCAACATTTCGCCGCTCTCAGCGGCGTCGATAACTGGTGTGTTTATCTCGCCTCGACGTCGCCACTTATGGACGGCTGGTGAGTAAAATGGGTAGTTGCAGCCTTAGATTCGTCCGAGCAGATAACACGTTTTCAGTCTTCTATTGTCCAGTTATTGTGCACCTTGGTGAATTTTAGCAGAGCCTTAATATATTTTTCGGAAAAAACTGGTTTATTTTCCTTTTTCACTGCTGCTCCTACCAAGCGCACCTCCAGCTGTCCATTGACTCACGCCTATATTTATTTTTGTAGAAACTTCTTTTGGCGTTAAAAGTCTATTTTTTCTCATTTTAGACATCATAAGTTGAGCGTCAGAGTCTGTTAGAAGGCAACGGCGATCATTCAACTTCTTTTCAGCACAAATATTTTGTTTTTCCTGTACCTTGACAACCACTGATTGACTAAATTGCAGCTGCTCTGCAATGGTGCATGTCGAACACCCAGTTTTAGTCAGGGAGATAATACTATTCTCTTTATCCGAAGATAGACTCTTTATTTCTCAGTGAATAGTTAGAGACTAAGTTCCAAATTCAACAAATCAACTATAAACAAGTGGAAGAGAGTGATTTTCTGAATTCTGACAACGAGTAATAAATGCAAAAGGCACTTAACGGTAAATCTGCAGGTCTATTGCTGATAAGAAGGTGAGAAGAGCAAAAATATGAGCGAATAACGGATGGTGCTAAACTGAGTTCAAGCCTCTTGTTTTGATTCTCAAATCATAACTATTCCATTTCTTCCTTTTCTATTTTGTTTTAACTAAAAAAATGTGCAAATATAGCAAACAACAAGCTACGGTACAAGGCGTGGGCTGTTTTCATTAAACCAGGGCTCAGGTGGCCGAAGACCACTAAATGTGAATAAGAACTTAATCTTTTCTAGCATTAAATTTATAAAATGGGGGGTTAACGAAAAATACCGCTTGTAGTTTTAATTCTTCAAAAAAATTTAATATAAATCACTCACACAACTTTTTTTTTAATATTTCTCTACTATAACCCACTGTACACTTTTTCATCGCTTCGAATTTTTACATACGATTTTTTTGCAAACTAAGTGTTATCAATTTCCCAAAAGCTTTTTAGCAAACAAAGATTCACATATTGTCGGTTTTATAACAAATTTTTAAAATCACTGCCTTTTTCTTTAGAAACTTGATACTTTTTCACGTTCTTGACATTACCCTGCAGGGAAAAGCCAACTAGTATGCAAAAATTCTGGTTAAATACTAGTATGTTGAAGATGAAATCATACCAGTTCGTTAGTGGTAAAATAGTTCACCAGTTGTTGTTGTCATACCGGCAGACCGCGGCTGAATTCCATTCTCTGCTCTGTTCTATTGAAGTGCGCAAAATGACATTGATCGTTGCATCGTCATGAATACCGAGTGGTTAGAGGTTATCGCTGTAGCGCGTTATGTCCCCGGTTCGAGCTCCGCTAAAGGCAACTTAATTTTAATTTTATTTAAATATTTTTATATTTATTACTATAATTTTTAATTTTTTTTAATATTTAGTGAAAAAGAAATTTTTACTTCCACATCATTCGTATATTGTTTTTGTTTTTAGTTTGATACGACCGAGTTTTATTTCCTAAAAACTTGTGTTGAAGTGCGCAGATTTCGTTCCTCCATATATCATAGCGTTAGTCTTTTGGTTAGAGGTCATCTTTGTGGTGCGTGAGGGTCCCCCCGGTTCAATTCTCGCAGCCGGCGGATTCAATTTTTTTTTTATTTAGTTTTTTTTTTAGTGAAGTAGAAATCCAACATGCCTAAATGAAGTAGTATTAAACTAGTATGTAGCTGATGCTTAGTAAGACAAATGTCAGGACATCGCCGTGTTAAAAATACCAGTTGCTTACAAGGAAAGTGGATGAAGCTGAAATAGTGGGTGTAAAAATGTAAACTAGTTGAATTCTAGTTGACAACTAGTATTTTCCCCTGCAGGGCATTCGTACTGCATGGCAACCAAAAGTTGGAGTTGCTAGCTAAAAAAATTTTTGTTTAAAAAATAATATTAATTTAAATAATTTGATTGTTTTCAAAATTTTTGAAAATTACAAGACATTTCTTCCACAATAAGCTATTCAGAACTTTTTAATTGTTATTGTTTTTAATTTAAAACAAACACCATGCAAGGTTTGAGGGGCTTACACCCAATTTTTTACGCTGTGCCAACCTCGTCATTAAACATATGATTTCCATCCAGTCGCTACCTTCTATTCTATAAACCTTGCATTGTATGTATGTATAAAAATTTCGTAAAAATACTACAGACATCGAAAAGCCATCAGCAATGCTAGACACACGAACTCACAAGCTAGTCATCATGAAAAAGTCTTGTGGGCAAAAAAAAAATTTCCATTGCATTGTCAAATATTGCAGTATCGTGTTGTATTGTATTGTTATGCTGTTGCTGCTGTTTTATCGTTGTTGTTGTTGCTGCTGCTGTAGTTGTTGCACTTAATGTAGTAGAGTTGAGTGTCTGTCGAATTTAAAAAAGCCTTCGCCTTTTCGCTTTCCCCTGAACAGCGCCACACACAAGTACAACTCTTTGTCCTTGTCATGTTGCAATGTGATTAAATTAAAATAAATTGGTTTAAATTGAAAATGAACCGTTACAGAAAAATTCACTTGCTATAATTTCACAAGCAGAGTCGCTGAAAAGTTGCTTCGGAGAAAAATTTGGAGGACGGCTATATGAAATACGCAGCTATTTATATATGTACATACGTAAATATATTCGAGTGAAGGATTTTTTTTATTTCAAACACATCTTGTAAAGCGCTAACATTGTATGCATACATACATATATATTATATATATAAATATTTCATAACTTCAACTGGAGTCTTACGTCCAAATGGTAATCCACTTTATAGAACAGCAGTGAATGCTATTCTTTTTCAGGCATAAAGGGGAAATTTTACAGAAATTGCGATATTAAAACTGATTTAAATGGCAGTAGTTTCCTTTAGAACTCGAAGAAAAGTGTTTTTTCAGAATTTTTTTTCGAACGGTAACGGAAATTGTGCGGTGAAGGGAATTTTCAGACAATAATGACCTATATTTAAGCTTCAAAAACCTATTTTTTTATCTCAAAATATTGGAAATTTTCAATATTGGCATGAGTTTTTCAAGATGACTGCAGTCGGAACTAGTCAAACGGTGCCGGTGAACAAAATTTTTATTTTTTATTTTTTATTTTTTTAATGAGTGTCTCTTCTATATGAAATAAAAAAATACTGAAGTAGTTAAAAAATTCCAAAATTTTTCGAAGTTTGAAAAAAAATATTCACTTAAAGTTGCAAATAAATAACATATTGTGGCGTAACTGCGAGGCGAATGTCAAATGAAAGAGAGAAACCGATAACTAGTACATTCTAGAACGATAAAACGAGAACCTTCGATAGCGAACAATTCGATTATTCTACACTTTCGTCTGCGAACAGCCGACTGCTATATAAGAGCGACACTCAGCTGCCAAGTCAAGTCATTTACAAAGTGAACTCGTTGGCGTTAACATAGAGTATTGCGGAGTAAACGCGTTGGAGATTACATTTAAGTAAAGTAAATTGTGAAAGTTGATGCTAGTGATTGTAAATAGTAAAGTGCATTGTAATTGAATTGTGAATTACTGAAAAAATAAAGGACATTAGATTAATTCTTTATAACGAAAGAAACTGCAAATTAAGTTGGTGGTTTTTATTTAACAATCCAGAGATCGTACCCGAAGGATTCAGAAAATCATCGAGGTTGATTTAGCAAAATCGTAACAATATTTTAAATAATACTTTTATCCAACTTTTTTAGTTCAAATAGAAAATAATTTTTATACTGAAGCTAGATCACTTTGGTTTATTTTTGTTTATCAGGCATATATTCTTTTTCCATCACCGGCACGGTTATCTAGAACTTGTAAATATGAAAACCCTTGAAAACGCGCTCCAAAGTCTTGCCAGAGTATTCGAACCTGCTCGTCGCTCTGCCACTAAAACTGTTCTAGCTTCTAAAATATGTCGAATTGGCAACAGAAATGTTGAAGACATATTACTTGAGCGTTTCAAAATAGATTTAAGAATATATATGCATTTTTTTCGAGGTCTCTATGGCAGACTACTGCCATCACCAACATTAAAAGCTACAACAAGATAGGTAAGGACGTCTCCGAGATTTCAATAACAAATGAGATTTCAGACAAGTTGATTTTTCAGCGCTTCAATTTATTGCGGCGGAAGATAATTTACGCCGCAGAGCTGAGGTCTATGACAGTATACAGCTGATAGTGTACGGCGACATCTTCGCTTATTAAATAAATAGTCAATGTATTTGCGACACGGCTCCGATGTCACTGTTGACAGTCACGATTTTGAAGTCGCAGATAACTTCGTCTATCTTTGAACCAGCATTAACTCCAACAACAACAATGTCTGCCTTGAAATTCAACGCAAAATCATTCTTGCCAACAAGTGCTACTTCGTACTGAATAATTGAAAAGAGAGGCCCTCTCTAAGGCGAACAAAGACCAACCACTACAAGCCACTTATAATTCCCGTCCTGCGACATGTGCCATATGGGGTCAGAAGTTATGGAGACACAAGAGTTGCCTAAGATTTGTAATGATTTGCGTATTGGCAACGGCGACATTGATCATGTCGTTCGCATGGTTGGGAACACTTCAACTTTGAAAGTATTCCATGCTGTACCTACCAGTGGAAGCAGTTGGAAAGGAACCTTTCTGCACTTGTTCTAAAATTGGGGCAAAGCACCGAATGGAATTAAGGAAAACCCTAATAAAACTGATTTTATCGACAACTTTGTCGACTAACAGGAACTTGTTTATGTACCTAAAATAATAGACTTCCTACAACCGCGAGGTCACGATTTATACTTATGTTGTCACCATAAAATCACAGATCTAATTTCTGTTTTAAAGAAAGCTTTGGAAAACTGTACGGTAGTTGAGTTCGGATAAATGGTATTTTTATATTGGTAATTTTGGAAAATATTTCAATCAACGAACGCGTTAGCAGAGGGCCGAATGGCGCCTCCTACCTTGCTGAGGGTCATAAATTATAAAAAAAAAGTTCATCAGCCCTTCAGAGGTGTCTTAGAATAAGATGTAGGTCTCTTTATTTGATGGAAAATTATCAGGATGCAGGAAGAGCTCAGTGGAAAATCGCTTCGACGGTTAGAGTGTGGCAGTATTCTCAAACCAGGAAAAATATATTCAGACCTTACATTCCCCAAAGTGGAAGCAAAGAAACTTGTGTTTATGTATGTCTACTTACGTAAATATCAATTTCAGCATTTTAAAGAGCATGCCACCGCTAATATTTGAGTCCACATCCAAGATAGCTGTACAATAAGATTTCAAAACACAAGCGCGTCCATCTAAGCCATGTCTAAGAATGATTAGAAAATAAAAAGAAATGAAAGACATTCCACAATTGCAAAAATTAGCGATTACACGGCATACAAACCCATTGAGGACATCTTCGAGTGAATGCAAAACATCGCGCTTGAAAAATGGACGACGCGATTCGTCGGGACCAGGAAATGGAAAGTTCACGCGAAAGCCATAGCCATAACCCCAAAGTGTGTTAACATTTAAGATGTTATTTTTGCCATTTGTACGCCACTGGTTTGCAGAGAAGATTAAAATAAATAATATTCAAAATTAATTATGATAAATATTTTAGTTAAGATTAAACTAAACTTTCAAAAATATCATTAACTATTATAAGGCGAGCTACTCGTTTTCATACTTTAAAAGCGTTATCGATGGGGTCATTCTTAGCTTGCTGCAAAAAGAGTCACATCTGCGGGAACAAAGACTTACTGTTCGCATCCGCCTCGCATAAGCACTAAGCGGGTGGCAGGAAGCCAAAGTCATATACTCGTAGACTGAAGTCATATAGACCAAATAGTCTGTCCTTAAGCGACTGTTATAGCAGCTTGTTAAGGGTAAATCGATGAATATCTCTCTACATGAAGTGGTTGCGACAATGGAAAAGACCATTAAGTTACGATAGTATTCTTTGAGGTATTCATTCACTTGACCTTGTCATGCCATCATCCCTCCAACTCGGATAATTCTTTTAGAGTAATTCTTTATAAAAAACTTAACAGGTTGGAAAATATCGCAAGCAGGCCCAACAAAGCGAACCCAAGCGAACGAAGTTTAAAGAGAAAATCTTCTTAGACTCATACTAGCATCCAAAGCACTAGCACGGTGAGTAGCTCTCAGGAAACAATGCCGTAATGAATCTTTGGAACAAGTGCAACGGATCTATTTACTAGATGAACGTGTCACGATTAGAACTACCTAAGCAGTGGCTCAGGAATTAGTCCTTGGCATGTGACCAATCAACTCACATGTGATGTATAAATATGAGGGACATAGCCGGACTGACGAGAGTGATAACAGAACTCAGGCTAACCGCACAATGTGACAGGAAAAAGAAAATCTTCTGTTAGATGCAAGCTATCCACTACTTTCCACTTCCCTAGAATTAAGCCCGCAAGGTTATCTGTAATGCTGAAAACCTATATATCTCTACTAGTGGGTTCAAATGCGAGATAAGTTTTGAAGGAAGGTTCTTCTGTGGCTGATTGCGCAGCCTAGGTGCTTCAAACTCAATTACCACAACTCCATCTTCAAGGCTTTCAGGTTTCTGGTAGATAGTAAAGCGGAAATTAAAATCATGCAAAGAGGCAATTAACAGACTCTATTGGATAAACACAGTATTATCTCGTGGGTGCCTAGATGTGGAAGACAATGAAAGGGTGGACGTACTAACTCATTGCCGACGACTTCCTACATCGGACGTACCAATAAATTTTTAAGGTACAGCGGAAATCGCAGAAAGACCAAACTTCTACTTGAATTAAGCATAACCAAGTACATTATCTTACTGGAAATCTAATGTAGAATCACTTTTGCCAACCGGTGCTACTTTGGACCGAGAAGGCGATTGAAAACTAAAGTCTTCTCTCGGCGAACGAAACCCAAACTCTACTTGTCCCTCTACAAGTCCCTCATCGTTCCCGTACTACTGTATGGTGCGAAAGCATGGACGATGACAACTTCCGAAGGGATTTTTCTGCCGAGCTGCTCCTTTAATTTATGGTCTTGCATCTTGACGTTTTTTTACGAGGAGCCTTTATTTCATGCACGAAATACACTCCGAGGGGTGGACATTCCCCACCGAGCGGTGGCTACAGTTAGAAAATTTAACTTAATTTTCCATAGCTTTTGAAAGTTGGTGGCACCGCGATATTAGCCCGAACCTTCCGAATGTCAGCATGCAATGCTAACCACTCGGCTGGAACAAATCGAAACTGTTTATGATATCGAGTAAACTTTTCGCCGACGGATAGCTACGTTACTCGAGAAAGCACAATGAATCAACCCAATCGTAAAAAGGTGACACATATAGCACCGCCAGGTGACGCAAGAGTCGCTACATTCAGAAGCTCTTTTTTTTTAGACAATTTTGGGGATGTCTGCCAAACATGCTGCTAACACAAAAAAAATTTCTCCAAATTCCCACACTCATCCTGCTGTTATAATTTTTTTTTTTTTACAAAATAACTTACCGAGACACGAGAACCTTTGGCGAATTGCAAATATCGCTTGCCACGCCGCAGTATGCGCTCACCACCGATAGCAGCGTGAAGGAGACCTTTTTCTTCCGCGATTGCTGCAATAGCTCTTTGATGTCGAGGCAATTTTTTCATTGAACTCAACGGAACATTTGAGAAAGTTGGATCGTCAAAGGACACAAAGCTTTTGCTCTCGCTTAAAGGGGTTTTGCCACCAGTGACGCTTGCTGTTGTCAAAATGCTGCTTCCACTTTGTAACGAATTGCTTAGTTGGAAGTCTTTATAAGGGGTTCTTATGCCATTTGTCATCTCAACACCAGAACTTGTCCGATTGTTTGATAACTCGGTGTAAGCTTTTGATGATTTAACGGTGATAATCAGATATATCACTGCGAGCACGGCTAGTTTCATGGTTGAACTTTGATCTGAAAAGAGGAGCACAGTTTATATTTTCATAACTAAGTTATTTTATTTTTTAAAAGATTCCGACTTTTTTGGGGGTTCCTGACTTTGTGTGTCCCTATACTCATACCAATAATTTAAATCAATATACTTTAGTATCGAATTACCCGCTCAACACCAGTGGTGTCGTACCTACGTGTATAACATCGATATCACTCTCTCGCTCTCTCAAAAAATTATCCATTTAGTAAGAAACTATCGCAAAGTTAATAATTAAAATGTTAATTCTTTTAACGAAGCTTAGGTTGGGTTGTGTTGAAGAGGCTACAGATGCGAGTGCATCAATAAATTTAGGTCAATGTAGATCCGTTGTGATACAATATTATTTTTCAGATCACTAAGCTTCAACATTTATTCACTTTAATTCTTTTAATAATTATACTTATGTCCAAATTAGACAAATCTGCGAAGAAAGCAGTTCCTAGGTATCGGAATCTAGCGCGGCCCAATACAGTGTAGTCGCGTGAAAGATGAAAAATCGTTTGTTCCTTATCATAATTCTTGATGCTATTGCAACATATTTTAAAAGTAGTACCCAGGCGAGCTGCAAGTCATTCTATCAAGCAGTGACCTGTTAAGACTGCTATAACCTTAAATATGTTCTCTCTATTTAGGGAGTATAAACCGCATGAACTTTTTCAAACCATTTCGACCAAGTTTGTCTAGATCCTCTTCAAGTAGCAGTAAATTCTTTGGGTAGCAATTAACATATGGCTGAAGCGATATTAATACGTTCTTCCCGGGGAACCATCTGCTTGATTCTGCCTTCGCTGGCAAATTCGTCTGTCCCTCTACGTACCTGCGACCAGGAATGATCATCTGTTCGGTTTGGTTATCTCTCCGTCCGCTAAAAATTGGAATATCCTTGCTCGTGCATTCGGCTTGAATTTTACTTAGAAGGTTGTCACTTTGTTAAAAGCAGGCAACCCTAAGGTATTAAAACAAATGTATAGACTCAAGCAAATCTTGGAATCTAACTTTTTATTTTGGCCCTTCTCGTGTAAGCTTAGGTTAACACCATTTAAAGTTGGCGGGTTTATTGTGGGTAATCTATACCACCTAGTGGATAGATCAACAATAGAGATCACGCAGAGCCAACAACATGAAGACCAGTTAGTTACTCTCCGAATATTCACATTCACTTCCATTAACGGTAAAAGGTTGTTGAAACGAAGACCTGAGGCCCACTGTCTACTGCCTACTGACACCATGCCTTTTAGCAGGAAAGTAGTTACACGAGTATTTTACACTAGTCAAAACTGTTTAGATACCTAAAACCAATATGCCGACCAAGCAAAAACAGCAGAAGAATTATATATTCGGTTCATCTATTTGGAGGACTCTAAGTCATACTGAACAGTTCAAAACCAAACCATCTGGACAATGGAACAGATCATCGACTAAGATGCCAACTACATGTCGAATTATAGATTTTGCAGTGGGCCGTTGCTGTCGTCTTGTAACTGTAATGATCAAAGCACCAGTAATGGTACCCATACCAGGAGTGACGATCGCGAAGGTTTAATTGTGTCTTTGGTGAGATTGACAAGAAGTCATCCACTGTGAGGTGATTCCCCATGACCAAACGCTTAATTTGGAGCTGTACTGTCAGCAATTAAACCATCTTAAGTATGCAATCGCTCAGCAGCAAACAGCTTTGACCAACACGGGAGAGGAATTGTGTTACTTCCAAGAAGCTCCTAAAGCTCGGTTGGGAATAAATATTTTAAGCATCCTTTTTATAGTCTGAATCCCACACCAAATGTTCCCCATCTGTTCCTATCTAAGTCGAATTATTTTTTCCAATATGAACAAGTGTTTCCTGGAGCGAGGCTAACAATATAAAATTCAAATAACAAAATTATAGTAAATAAAGCCTCACCTGCTTCACCTGACAAATATATATAATTGTCCTTTTATTACTGCAGTTCGCCCGTGCTGCTATTCCAATTTGTGGTTTTCCAACAAATGGAGGGACCTATAGCTTGTAATTCATGTCGGATCCTGCCTTGCCTAGGGGTGATCGCAATTAGAAAAATTAATTTTCTATAACTTTTAATGTTAGTCGGACCAAGGTTCGTATCTTCCGAATGTTAGTAGAGCCGATAATATATAATCGATTTGATGGAATTGATGTAATTCAGCCAAATAAGTCCCGGCGGCTACGTGAGCTAGATTATCGGCATTCGAATGCAAACAAAAATACTACAGCGCTAAAAGTATTCTATGAAGAGCCGCTGGTAAAAGCAGAAAAGGAAGCAGAGATTCAGATTTTTTAAGAAATCAGGTGGATTATAACCTTCACCTGGCGTCCCTAGGTACCTTTGATTGGCGCCGAACCGCAAATGTAAGAAACGACTGAGGCCTGATTAAAGACTCATTTATAAGCGCACAAACGATGACAACGCCAATTCAGTTCAGCGTGAAGTAGAAAGTTAGTCAAATATTTAACCTCTTCTAGCTCTGATCGCTTGTATTGAGACTTAGACCTAACACAAACAAAATGAACCCTGGTTACGGAAAGTGTACCAGTAGAAAACCAAAGAAGTAGGGAAATCACACGTAAAATATTCAGTACTTCGCCAAAAATTTGTGGTCTTAGTCTATATATTATTTATATCTTTCAACAAATGCATATGCATTGAGCTCTAAGTCACTGCTGGTTTTCTTACCACGTCTACTTACGTTCGTTCTGGCCTATGCTGCAAACTCAAGACCCTGTGGGCAGTTGCACTCATCGTAAATCTACACGGCTAGAGGTGCCGCCAATGGTCTCTTGTATTAATGATGGCACATACAACACTTTAGCCACGCTAATTAATCACTTCAACAGTAGTAGTAAACAAAATTAAAATCAAACCAAAGAAAATGTCTTGCCAAAGGAGAGAGGATCAAAGGTAATGGTTGGAAATAAAACTTAGAAAAATGTAAAAAAAAAAGAAAATGACTAACAAAACACAACCAAGGACAAAGATTTTAACAGTAACAACAGCAACAACTACATTAACAACAACAGCAACAGCAACAACAACAACAACAACAACAACAACAACAACCAAACCACAATAACATTACGCGAGAAATAATGAAGTACATAATTCTGGTTAATAGCAACAAACTGCAGACAAGCCAGCAGCGTGCGGCAACAAATGCAGCTCTAACAGCAACAGTAACAACAACAGCAACGCTATGTAGACATACTCGTATACAGGCATATAAAACCACAGATGCAATGAAAAAAAATAAGATAAAGAGAAATGACAAATTATGCTGCCAACTTTAAATGCGTGCATGGAGATATATAATATGTATGTTTTTGTATCTGTAAATGTGTATGTTTGAGTGTTTGCATGTATGCATGTATTTATGTATATGTGAATAAGCACACAAGTGCATAAACCATGCATTGCAAATGAGGTCGTTCATATTGCCACAAACAGTTGCAATCCTCCTGGGCTCACCTAAATTCGTTGCCGACATATTAGTGCAACAACAACAACAGCAACAATAACAACAGTTAATACATACAAATTACAACAGCTAACTAACTACCGTTGCCGACATTTCCGTTGCCATCTCTGTTGGATTTGCCTTTGCCTTGGCCACTTTCATTATTGCCACTAGCAGTGGGACAATAACAATAGCAACAATAACAATAACAAGCAACTAGCATCATTTACATTAACCACATACATATAAATACAGACATACTGTATATACATACACACGTTTAGTGTTGACGGCAAGTTGAGCGCAAAACAAAAAAAAATAAAATAAATAGACCACATTTGATAAATTGTTGCAAGTTGTTGCAACTACTGAAATGCTTCACTCTGCTGCAGTGAAAAGGAACCAGTTAGCGCTCAATATGCTACTAGTTGATATAGTCATGCCAAATTGTTTATCTAACGTCACTTTTCCATATTAGCAAATTATAATAAATAATTTTAGTAACTAGTAAAATACTAGTTCATTAATGGAGATTAAAATACCACTTAAAAAAAAAGATTTGAAAAAAAACATTACAATGGGTGGACTACGAAAACACAAATGTTTGCTAGATATTTTCCAGTGATCGTTGATGATACAACAACAATTCATTCTTGTGGCTGCCATTCAAATGGTCGACCCAACTTTTCAACACTTTTCTATTGTGCGTACCTCTATGGCTGCAGTGGCGACTTCGAGTTGGTTTTTCAAGTCAATCAAGGGTCTTGGGTGGTTGGCGCAGTCGTCTAACCTTACCGACGGCCCACAAAAGGAAGTTCAACGGAGTTAAATATGCAAAAGATCGATTACTCATTGGTTCTGTGGCATGTGTAGCATCCATGTCGTTATCTACAACATTTGGCAGCAAAAAAAAAAAGAACTCTGAGCGTGACTTATGGTAACGATCGACAGCCGTTATCGAAGAAAACCGAACCACTAGAGCTGCCGGCACCCATGCCACACCAAACAGTCACCCAATGAGGAAGCTTTGGCTTTACATTGGCTGCATATGCGCCGAATATGCTCTTCCAAGTCGTCAATTATCTTGGGCGTATCAGTACAGGCAAGTGACTTAACATAACCTCACAAAAAATAGCGTTGTTCAATCACACGATTTTAGAGACCACTTTACTGACCCACGACGCGAGACTTCAATAAATTTCAAAAAGTTTCGTAAACTTTATGGCAACACATTCGGGTTAGAATCAAATTTCATCCATAACAACATCATCCAATACAGACGCGAAAAATTAGTCATGGCTCTGTAGCATGCATGATAGGTGTTCGGGTTCAATACTTGCAACCGCAAGCCAAGATCCTTCCTCAAAATATTTCCATAAAGTGGATGGGCACGATGTATGTGTCGCGAAACCGATTCATGGTGGCTCGAGTTACCGGTTCTTCTCTGCCATCATTTAAAAAGCACACGCTGAGTGGTCAATCGGTGAAGACTAAATTACGAAAGAGCGCTGATGGTCGTTAAAATACTAGTTCGGAAGTAGAATTTTATATACTTTCAGTGTTTGGCTGTCCACTACAGTGTTATATATTTACTACTATATGTATGTATGTGTGTGTGTGTGTGTATCTTATGTTTGCCAAATGCATTAACTTGCTGTTATTGGCCTTAGCTTGGTTTAGTTTTATTCCTTTTTGTTGTTATGCTTTCTTCATGTTTGCCGCTCGCATTTCAACACGCGCACGCGGTAATTAGTAATTTTCACACAATAAAACACACAAACATACAGCGAAATAGGTAATTATGCACCTGGAACTTTAAATTCAACTTTATTGCTCTCTCTGTTCTGGCAATTTTTCACTTTGTTTTTTTTTTCACATTTAATCACATTCACTACGGCAGCAGTTCTGATGAGATTAGTTTTTTTTTTCATTTTTTATTTTTTTATACATGCATCCATATATATACATACATATATATTTATATTCCATATACTTCATTTGGCTCACATTTTCAAGCAAGTTTATAAAATATAAATAAATTTGTTGAAAAGGTTAGCGATGTGGACACGACTAGTTACGAAAGGGTTATAAATAAGCCAGGAAAAAATACCTTCATTCAGGTTACCTTATAATAGAGAGAGAAAGAGAGATACAGAAAGAGAGAGAGAGAGAGAGAGAGATAGAGAGACCATGAATAAAGACACTGCGACTTTTTCGGTTTGATCTCGACTAGCCGGTCTCATAAATGTTCAAAATATAACACCACCAACTATACAGGGAAGTCCCGGAAGATACGATGAATATGATTAGGATGGAAGTGGATACAGTAGCCATATGAATGTGAGAAAAGCCCGTTGAACAAACGTCTAGGCTCAACCGAAAGTGCCCTTAAAACACATTAATGAGTGCTGCCACGAGCCCAGCGATTTCAGTTCCAAGATGGATGAGCAAAGCATCTTCCACCACGAATGCACTACATATGGTCTCAGGCTAAACAAACTTCGTCGGTGCGCAACAGCATTCGTCCATCAAGCAGCATGCTAGTTCTGAAGAATCTCGATATAAGATTTTATTGATTGCATGATTGTCTAAGACCCACCATCAACAGACTGGCTAGACCTTATCAATATGAGTTTAGAACAGGTTGATGCATAAGATATTCACTGTGCGAAAACCCCCAGAAAAGGAATAGTGACGCAACAGAATTGGAAAAAACCGCCTTAGTCTTTCGATAACAATAAATAAACCTTCGCACAAAGACAGCTCTTTCGATGGACTCATCAGAATTTAATATGAGCTGCAGAACTGAATAGGGAAAGCAAAATCTTCTATAAGAGCCCACAACTGCTTGTTGAGCTGCTGATGACTTAATATCATTCATATCAACCCTCGACGTTAGATTTGCTTTCTTCAGATTTACCCTCTCCTGGCAGCAAAGCGTAATATTTGGTCAAGTAAAAAGTTCGTTTATTCGGTTTTTATCTAAGAGATGGCGTTAGCTGACAAAAATTAATTTAATTTAGCATAACAAATAATGTAGCACAAAAAGGGTTAGCTAGGTTCCGTTTCGGTAATTTCGATGTCAAAGATACACCAGGTTTTCCTGTGTGTTTGGTGGGATTGGCAAGGAGTCATCTACTACGAGCTGCTCCCCTATGGCCAAACGCTCAATTCGTCCCTCTACTGCCAACAACTGGACCGCTTGAAGGCAGCACTCATCCAGAAGAGGCCATCTTTGATCAACAGAGGCCGAAATGTGTTCCATCAGGACAACGCCAGGCCACACACGTCTTTGGTGACGCGCCAGAAGCTCCAAGAGCTCGGATGGGAGGTCCTAATGCACCCACTAAGTGATTACCGTCTTATCCTGTCCATGGCGAACGCGCTTAATGGTGAGAAGTTGGCCTCAAGAGAGGCCTGTAAAAATAGGCTCTGCGAGTTTTTTGACAATAGGGACAAAGACTTCTACGAGAGGGGTATAATGAAGTTGGAACCACGTTGGCAACAAGTTTACGAACAAAATGGAGCATATTTGACGGACTCAATGAGAAGCTCAACGTTACTGCCCTTACTGCCGCAGGTGATGGAACAATTAATGCTATGAGATATTCCACGATTTTAAAATAAATACGTACGTATTTTTACCAAATAAAATAAATATTTATTAAGGTAGAGCAGAAAGTACTTCAGCGCCTTCAAAGTAATCCCTCACCCTATACATTATCTAATATTTATCGGCCGAATATCCTTCAATTCCGTCAGCCATTCTCGTCGAAGCACCGCAACCAACTCGGTACACCTCAATTGGAGTTAAAAATTATTTTCATTTGGAAATTAATGAAATTTCTAAAGAAATACGAGCTGACACATTTTTCGTGGTTTACTGTGAGAATGCTGGAAATGAAAGCCGCACCCCGAAGTGGTTTACTTAATTGTGTACCGGATTTTTTTATGTCAAAGATGCACCTCATTCTGATCGGCCAGGCACTCGATAAGCCGATTAAATACTACAACTGATTTAGGTAGATTAGTATGCAGGCTGCGACAGTTTTTAATCATTTAAACAAGAAGAGCGATGTTTGGCTACCCTGAAGTAATTATAAAGCTTTCTGGAAAAACGCCGATCCTTTTTAATTTGTAAGCGGTAACCGATAAAAACCACTTCCTCTCATTAAATCTGCTATGCGGAAGACCATGAATTCGAGTCCTAACAAATGAATGAAAAGATTCTTATTAAAATCCATCAGCTGTTCGGAGGCGGACTAAAATTATTGACCCTTCCATTTTACAGGGAAAATATAAAATCGCACATTTCAGATTAAAGAAGGAGCTCGGCGCAAAAATACTTTTAACGGTTATGAAGCGTCCAATAGACATATGTAAAGAGTGTTATTTCGGTTCCAGCGATGCATCGCTTGACGCAACCAATTTTCGGTGGACATAATCACCCAACACTGTGGTAATTCACAAAAAAAAAGTCCTCCTTCAGTTTCTAGTTTTGTATTTGCTGTTTTTCCGAAAAAAAAAGGGTCTCTGGTGTCCAGCCATAAACGCATTATGTAATAAATTTGTAGTTGAAATTAATTCATTTGAGGTTCAGGACGTAGAAAATTTCATGCTCTTCAAGTAATGACAACGATTTTGGATTTCTGTCTACTACAAAGTACGAAGTTTTTAGGCCATATTTTTCGCGGAGATGCCGATGGAAAGTGCTATTTTGAAGCCGTCATTTTGAATTTCGACTATTTTTTTTTTTTTTTTTTGCGGATTTAATATCTCAAATTGTCAAAACCGAAAGCTCGTACGCCTTTTCAATCTCTCCCAAAAAAATCCTAATCTTAATGGTAACAACTGAATGACCGAAGAGCCGATAAACCACAGACGTTATGCACTGATTGTGAAATAGCTCACGGGCATACACATGTACACATATACAAGTATCTATATGTATGTATATATTTTTGCTAAAAAAAAAAATAGTTCAAAAATACACAAAAATATATTATTTTTAATTATCTAAAAAAATTAAGTGATTGATCTGACACATGACAGTCAAATAATAGTGATTTCTGACAGTTTGACTAGACGGAATGAGATGAGAGAGCACAACGATTCGGTAATCGAGTTTCCTGAGCAAAGGAAACAAAGTGTTACCAAAGAACTTGACAATAATTATTTACAAAAGTTTTGCCAACTGAGCTGAGCTTCAACTCCTTATTTAAACACTTTTAACACAAATCAAAATTACATAATTTTCAACACTTATAACTTTTATTTTTTTTTTTTTTTTGTAAAACTGAGAAACGACAATTCGAGCTTTGAAATTGTAAACAACACTACACTTTATGCAAAAACATACAAAATATGCTTAGCAACTTTTAGAGATTACTTTTTGTATATGTTGTTGTAATTTGTAGAAGTTTTGAAAATCTTCATACCCACCGTATTGCTGCCACACCAAACTGCACACGATTGCGATGCCGCACAATTAATTCTGGTGACATTTCTCAACAGTTGTTAATATCTTTTAAACTTAATATATGTACATATGCCAACAACAAATCACAACATGTTGAGAAGTATCTCCTTTGCTGTCGCACCTACAATGTTCATTAAGCCAAACGCTGCCAACGTACGTCAAAGGTGTAATTGAGCTGTTATTTGACGAAAGTTTAGTTTCCTCTTTAGCATCTTCAGCTGTCACTTTGCCGTACATATGTATTTACATGTGTGTATGTGATTTTTCCAACATTTCTTTTGCGTCTAGGTAAATGTCAAGGTAACACTTCTCATCGAAACGCTCTCCCACTCTCTCCAACTGACATTTCTGTTATTGTTAATTTCAATATTTAATATTGACTCTTTTGCGCTTTATTTATTTTTATTGTTAACTTAAATTGTCATACTCAAGTGAACACATGTACATAAACGTACATATGTGCATACACCCTTGTCACAATTGGCACAGATTGCGCCGCTTAGTTATGCTGAGTCGACTTTACAAAGCTTCCCTGCAGGGAAAAATACTCCAAATGTCACGCTCTCAGATGCTTTTTTTGATTAACAATATCAACTCTGAGAAGCCAGTCATAAATATGCTATAGTGATTCGATCTGGCTGGCTCCCAATGAAATCAAATGTACCAGTTCATCTGTGTACCAAATGTTTTGAAATATTTTAAAAACTGAGGGACTGGAATGTCCTGTCTCTTAATTGAGACAGTCCAAGAAATGCGATGCGCGGGTTAATAACGGAAGAAGGTGGGTCCTTGTGAAATCTACTACAGCGTTTATATAAAAGAGGGCAAATTTGGTGTCGGATTCGTAGTGGAGTCTCTCTCCCTTCCCGAGTACTGAAATTCACTCCGTTGAATGAACGTATCGCCACAATCCGCATCGAAATGATATTCTGTAACACTACGCTAATTTGCGACCATGCCCTGACGGAAAAGAAAGATGACTTGACCAAAGCTGCTATTTACGAGCGCCTCGAGCACACTTCAACGCCAGAGTGGGCAAAAAAGGTTTTTTTTTTTTGCTACAACTATCGGAAAATTCAACGCCCACCACGAAATATCACCGAATGGGCTGAGGCTGATCGACTTCGCCGGGGCCAGAAATATCTGTAGTACTAGATTCCACCACAAAAAAATTCACCAAGCTATTTGGCTATCTCCAGATCGGCAATCACAAAACCAGAGCCATCGTGTTGTGATAGACGGAAGACATGTATCCAGTGGTTTTGATAATTTAGAACAGCATTAAAAATTAAACACGCGGAGATGGTGGACCGGTAACTCCAATTGATGACGTTGGAAAAGTTGTTCCATTACCCAACTATGAAGGAGTCCGCATAGCAATCGCCCACCTAAAAAACTACAAAACGGCGGGAGCTGACGGTATAGCAGAACTATTCAAACATGGCGGTGAAGAGCTGACAAGGTGCATGCATCAGCTACTTTGCAGAATATGGTCAGATGACTGGATGGCCGCCGATTGGAATTTAAGTTTGCTCTGCCCAATCCTTAAAAAAGGGAACCCCACAGTCTGCGCCAATTATCGTGGGATAAGCCTCAGTGTGGCTTCAGACCTGGTAACTCAACCATTCATCACATTTTCACCATGCGCCAAATCTTGTAGAAGTCCTGTGAAAAGAGGATCGACACTCACCATCTTTTCATCGATTTTAAACCCGCCATCAACAGCATGAATAGGAGCTGCTTTTACGCCGCTATGTCTGAATTTGGTATCCCCGAAAAACTTATACGGTTGTGTGAACTGACCTAAAGTAGCACTAAAAGCACCGTCAGAATTGGGATGTACCTATTCGAGGCGTCCGATTGCAAACGAGGTTTCAGACAAGGTGACTTTTTATCGTGACTTTTTTAACTTATTGCTAGAAAAAATAATATGAACTCCAGAGCTGAATAGAGCGGGTACAATATTTAGTAAGAGTGTACAGGTGCCGGTGTACGCCGATGATGTCAACCGCGCCATGAGTTTTGCTGTACCCAGACTTTACAGTCATAACTTTGAGGCCGTAGATAATTTTGTGTATCTAGAGACCGGCATTAACACCAATAATAACGTCAGCCTTTAAATCCGACCTAGAATCACTCTTGCCAACAGGTGCTTCTTGGGCTAAGTAGGCAATTGAAAAATAAAGTCCTCTCTCGGCGAACGAAAACAAAATTCTACAAGTCGCGCATCATTCTCGTCTTGTTATATGGTGCAGAAGCATCTGATTTGAGATCGAGTGAAGTAAACTGGCATGAGTACTTTTACTGCTGAGTTTTGTTGCTTAGATTTTACGGTTGGGTTTGCTCCTGTTTGGCTCCATACTATGGACTGCTGTTTGGTTTCTAGATCGTACTTATAGAACCCAGATTTGTCACCAGTAAGGACTTTACTAAAGTTACTAGACTGACCATTTTCGAATTTGTTTAGGAAAAATTAAGCAAACTGCACTCGAAACTCTTTTTGGGTCTTATTTCTAATTTGTGGTACCCATTGAGCAGATTTCTTCGTGTATCCCAGCTTATTACTTAATATTTACGATACAGACATGGCATTCAAGCCTGAGTCATTAGCAATCATTTCTGGTGTCTATTTTGGACTTCACTAGGGCTGCAGTGACGTCATCAGTGGAAGAGTTTGGTCAACTTATTCAGGGCTCGTCCTTCTGCAGTGAAAATGTCAGGTTTGGAATCTTCGGAAGCACTTAGAAATAATCCTGAAGGACGGTGCAACCATTCCATATGAAATTTGGCAACCACGGAATATTTGTATTGACCATAAATTACGCCGAAACCCGAAGATAATCACATGGTGAATTACTGTTTGCGTTGGTGGTGGATTTTCATCTGACCTATAATCAGCAATCTTGCGTTTTCTACTCTCTATTTTGGCCGATCATTCAAAAATTTTAAAGAATGACTAAAAAAGTAATTGCAAGAGATTATTATTATTTTGAGATTCAACAAAAATAAATTGAAAGTCACCAACTGACCAAACTTTTGTTAATCCCCTCGTAATGTATAAATATATAATAATAAATAAACTAGACCTTCATTGAGTATTACATATTATCAATATAATCAAATTGATGTAGAAAACAAACAAATCGGAAGATAAATTAAAATTCATTGAAATCTGCATTCCATTTTAACATATTGTCTCTACTCAAAACGCGCCGCCAGCAATACCCAACCACCAATGGTCAACGGTCAGCGCCTACAACACCACCCTCAACACACCAAGCGTCGTTCAAAAAAACAAATGACAGTGTTAATTTACTGTGGCCACAGTCAATCAACGTTGCAATTTGTTGTAGCAAAATATTTGCACTGTGTTGCACACACACACATACACACACATACATACATATATAGGCACGTATATACAACACCCACACACAGAAATGCAAATAAAATGCTGTGTATGCAGGTGAAAACCGCAACAATCACTGACTTTTGAATGCTCGTAGTGCTGCTTCTGTTTGTATGTATGTGTATGTGAGTGTGTGTGTGTGTGTGTGACAACGTTTGCAGCGTTGGGTATGTCGTAGGTGTGCGAATACGGTTGTCATGCCATTGAGGTTAGCCACAGTCAACCAACAGTAGTTGTCATCATTATTTGTTGTTGGCGCTACAAGCTGACACACGCACACACACATACAGCCACTCAAACATGGTATACAACCAATGTCAAATGTCACCACCAATATAAATTTACAAAAAAAACTCAGCAGCTGCAACAACAGCAAATGTCTATAGGAAAAAAAAGCCGTTGTTGTGCGTGGATTTGGCAGATTAAGCTAAAAACCCGTTACGTGTTACAGCAACTACAACGCTATTATCTAGCTCTCAACCTCTCCACTTCTCTTGCTTCGTTTATTAAGGCGGCAACGAATAAACGAGCCATCCTGTCAAAACATTTTATTTGGTAATTTTAATTAGTGTTGCGCTAATTAGTTGGCAAATTGGCTAACTGTAAAGTGTAGTGTGAAAGTTGAAGGGCAAAATATTTTGGTAATCAGTAATTTGTTTATTTACCTTCAAGTATTGCACACTGATAATGCTGATTTTGCTGTTGATGATTTCGTTCCGTGTTGAGTCCTTAAAAAGATGTGCCGTTGCGCCGCTGCGACTTTGTGATTTGCTTCTTCGTTAATTTCACGTTGAATTTGTCATTCGCTCGAAGGCCGAAAAGTCTTGATTTTTTCAGCGCAACTGAAAAACGGCATACAAAATGTCGGTTGTCCGTTCAGTCATCTGCTTCATACCAGTTACATACTAGTTCATAGAAATACCCAGATTCAAAGTGGGAACCTCACTCCGATCCTTTTACAAAACTCAGTTTCAGCCGCATATTTAAAGCTACCCCATAGAGTGTGTTGCCCTCGAAATTATGTTGAAAAATCATCATGACCGGCAAGTGCCAGACAGAATGTTGAGGCATTTCAATAAAGGTAAAGTAATGGAATAAATTTCGTCCTTTTTATAACGATTTTAAAACATAAAGTTTTCGTGGCTCGCCGCCATCAATGGTGTTTCAGTAAGTAACACAATATAGTTCCCGGTAGCGTAGAATTACGTGACATATCCAGAGAGTAAGTATACTGGGGCTCTCATGGCCAGAAGAATCTTATTTCATATTAGTAACACGGTAGTGTAACTCCCTCGAGACCGGTTAGAGGTCCGAAATACGCTGGGGTATCTGATATCTCGTTTAAAAATGGAAGACCTGCGCTTGAGATTTATAATGAGGTGAATCGTAGAGTGGGCATCTGTATGTAGGAGATCTTCAATTGTCACTGACGAAATGTCTGAAAAAAAATTTAAAAAAATGCCCCCTGTTTTGATCGCAGATTGGTTGTGATTGAACTTTCTGTAATGTTGCCGCAATTTTCCAGTTGTCTACTATACGAAACAATCATAAAAATGGCTGCATTAAAGGAAACTCTCTGCTTGGCTTGGTTGACGAGAAACTCACCATAAATCATACCACTCTAAC